AATGACATTCTCAATAAGAAAAAGAATGATTTCATAATGCAAAAACATCCCAGTACTGTCAGTTTAAAAAGAGGCAATAATTACTGAATATACTGTTAGAGAAAACAAATCATGTATATTTTAAAATCCCACAGTTAAAGAACACAAAGCATGTGAGAAAATTCTATTGGTTTTTGAATAACATAAAAGAAAAATGGGAATAAATAGATTTTGAAAGGAAAATCAACCAGTTTCCTACATTTGGTGGTTTGTTATTCTAAAAAGTGCTACGCTTTCAAATGGGCCTCTATGAATTAACCATCAAGCTTCTCAACCAACTACCCTAATAGAGTACTTTGAAATGAAAGTTAATAATACCCAAAGTGAGACAATAGAATGTTTCTTCTATTTAGCCCTAATCACTTCATTTTCTTCTAATTACACAATAAAATCTCTTTCAGATTTTAAAATAAATACAACAAAAACAAAATACGGGTACATGCATACGATATGTAAGAAAACAACTGAGTGAACTGAAACAATATAGTAAATAAATGTCACTGTTTCTCCAATTTGAAACCCCAGTAGCAATGCTACTGAAACAGAATCAGGTTAACCATACAGTATAAACAATTTATAGAAATACAATTAAAAACCACATATTAGGGCATTACCTTAACTAATCAAAATTCTAAAGTCAGAGTTGCAAAAGACTATTCACACATATAGACACACACATATACACAATGGCTACAATAAGAACCAGTCTTCACAGCATTGTTATTATTCACTATAAATAATTCTAATAATTATTATAAATATTATTCATGATAAATTAATCACTATAACAACATTCCAAAACACTAACAAAGACATAAATACCAAATCACAGTGGCACGAAGTACTCAGGGATGGAAGTAGCTTGAAAAAATTAGAGTAGAATCCAATGTAGAACCAATCAAAAATGAGACTAGAAATGTAGGCAGGGGCCAAGTCACAAAAAGCCTAGAGTTTTAGAATTCTAACCTAGTATGTCATGCTTCTCAAGTGAGGTCTGAGTACTCCATGGTAATACAGGAGTATGGAAAATCATAGGATAATTGTGGTGCATCTTCCATAAGTGTCAAGTTTATGTAAAAAACTTGGAGGGAAGTTAAATGAGTTTGTCACTGTTTTTATATTAAATCCAATTTTCCTGGAACATAAAATTAACATGAATTTTTCAGACAGAACATGAAGCTTCAAAGCAATTTCACTCTTGCCGTAGGCTAATTCAGGTTCACTATTCCTTACAATTTGAGGAGAAGAGACACATGAGGGAGAATTTGAGGGAAAGTTTGAGAAGCAGTGCTGGGAATGTGGAGCCAAAGATTTTTGTTGTTGTTTTCTCTTGTTTTGAATAGGGGAGTGATATCAGATTTGTGCTTTGGGAAGCTCTCTCAGGGAAACAGTAAGCAGGATGGGCTAAAAAATAAGACACGGCACAATAATGAGGGTAAGTGACAAGCAGAAAGGTTGTAACTGTGCAAGAGATGAAAAGGATATGAACCAGAGTTGAAGCTACAAGAACACTGAGGGCTGGGAGGATTCCGGAAAGCATACGATGATCACCAGACAGCGCCTGACAGACGCCACAGTAACTATTCTTTTGAGAACTTATTAGTATAAAGGCGTTCATTTTTTTAGAGTTAGTATTTCTACTACTGTAAGGTATTTGACATTTGTACCTTTAAAAGCTCCCACTTAAATATAATACCTTCATGAGAGAGTGGCATGGACATATATACACCACCAAATGTAAAATAGATAGCTAGTGGGAAGCAGCCGCATAGCACAGGGAGATCAGATCGGTGCTTTGTGACCACCTGAGGGGGTGGGATAGTGAGGGTGGGAGGGAAGGAGACGCAAGAGGGAGGAGATATGGGAACATATGTATATGCATAGCTGATTCACTTCGTTATACAGCAGAAACTAACACACCATTGTAAAGCAATTATACTCCAATAAAGATGTTAAAAAAAAAATAATACCTTTAGTGTGCCTTCTAATCATAGGAAGTGTAAAGTTGTGGGATCCTATTTGGTATATGCTGTTATACCAAAAATTAAACAAAATATGAGTAAGACTTATGAAAACTATGCTTAATAAAGAAAATACCCAAGTTTTAAAAATGTTAAGAAAAAATTATCGGGCTCCTACTGATCAATCATCAACATAGCTTTTCTAGAAACATAACTATACAGTTTGAGAACCAGAGTTAGGAATGACTTTGATCCTTAATGTGATATTCCAGAATAAATGAACACAGACTCTTCTAGAAAAGAACAAGAATTTGGGTATTTAAAATATCTGATTAAAAAAAATAAAATATCTGATTACTTAGAAACTGAACAAAAAGTAGTAACTTTTTTTTTTTTTACCATGTTAGTCATTTCATAAGGAGGAAATAGGAGTTTATCCAGCTGATACTGGCTAAAAGATACAAAATAAGATTAAACTTAATTCTTCACTAGTAAATTGACAGTAAAATGCAGCCACTAGGTAAAAAGAGAATTATAATTGTTAAGGTAAATAAAAGATAAAACAAACAAAAAATCCTAGCAGAACATATTCAAGAAAATATTACAACTTGAGAAGTAGATCAAGAAAATATTAATTTTATTGGACTAATAAAAATAGCAACTCAGTTTAAATACTCTGAAGAAAGGAGTGTCTTTTAACTGCTTTTCGAACTTAGCATACTTCGGTCTATTCTACTTATTCGTGTAACACAGACCATTGATATTTATAATATGATTGTGATCAGAAAACTTAGGAAAGGTACAAGCACTGAAGACAATAGAAAAAAGAAAAACACTACTCAAACAAATGTTATCTGTAATCAAACACTGATCTGTTTAAATTTTAAAACTACATTATCAGAAATATTTAAAATAATATTTTGTTATGGAAATCATCATAGAAAAAAACAAAGGCTAGGACAAGTCTGGAAACTAGTCTCTAGGTCCTAACAACTTTTATTTATTTATTTTTTGATTATAGATGAAACTCTTCAGCTCTCAAAAAGCATGGCATAAAAATTTAAGATACTTTACTTGGCAGGAAAAGACTCAACTAGACATACAGATCTTAAACCAACTTTATTTGATAGTTTATGCTTGCTACCTTACAGAAAAATCCTAAAATTTAGGTGAAACATAAATTCATAACAGAGAAAGAATATCTCAAAAATACAAATCAGTGTAATTCTCATAAAACCTCTCTCCATCACTAACAACAGGTAATTAACTGTTCCTTTTATTGGACTCTTTAATATATTTTTTCAAGTCTCTTGAGAAGAGATGAGAAAGATACCAACACCAAAGGAAGAACAGATAGAACTATCTAAAATTTTTGGTTCAAATATTTTGAAAATTAATGCAAAGAAATGTGATAACAAAAATAGTTGACATTCTACAAAGGAAATTAAGACACTTCTCCACCTCTCTTCCAGATGATCTACACACATAGTAGCTATTTCTTCAATTTTTTTTTTAATTCCATCTGCCTTTTCCAAGCCTCCCTCTTTCTGTGCTCACTTGCTGTCCTATACTCGCGTGGGCACGGGAAAGTTGCTTCTATGAAATCAGTCCATTGCAGGTGTCCTTAGAGCATTACAAAACATCACCTGCCTGAGGGGAAGTGGACAACCATGGAAAGAGTTGAAAGAGGGATGAGATGTACAAACACTGACAGAGACTTTTTTACATTGTTTTTGAAACAAAATGGCCCTTCATGTACATGGGTTATAAGGTTACATGCTCACATTTATTGTGAGTGGCTATGTAAGGTCTAATTACATAGTAATGAGGCATTGGTCTCTATATTTAAGGGATCTAATGGAAGAACCGCTGCAGTTATCAACAGGCAGCTCCCCTGCAATTCCATGCATCCCACTACAGGAGGAACTACACGAAGTACCCCAAATCTGCAACCACCAGGACAGACCACCCTCCCCATCCCCACAAAATATACAAATTCCAATTAAATGTGAAAGATACGTGAACATCTAGACAAGAAACCCTTAACAGTCAAAGAAATTCGATTTTTTTTTGGTAAAAAAAAATACATACGCCCAGGAAAAGAAAGATAATACTCCACGTTAACAATGGTTATCTTTAAGTAGCAAAAATACAGGTGATTTCTATTCCTCCCTTTGCGCTTCTCTGTGTTTTCTAGCTTTCCTACAATGAGCACGTAACTTTGGTAATCGAGGAGGAAAAAAAAAAGTCAAATAGATGCAGAGCTTAAAGCAACAGTTAATCTGGATCAAAGACACAGAGTAGTCTATCTTTAAGCCTCCTCGGAGTCACTAAGGAACAAATCCTCCGGTACTCGGCGGGGAGAAGACGGCTGCAAGGCTCCCCAAACCGCAGCGATAACCTCTCTATTCCAGGGTCTTAGCAAACTGAGGGGACAGAGTTGTTTCATACAAACTTGGTCAAGTGCTCCTGCAACAGCAAAACTCACTCCCAGCTTTCCCGTGACCCCGCCCCCCAAGGCACACCAAGTCGCGAGGACCTCGTTGAGACCCTGCGCCTGTCTCAGGGTGCTCCCGAAGACTTGTCCCCCACCCCCAAGCTGTGCTCCGCAGCTCACCTCCGCTCTCCTTCACTTACTTCCCCGACCCCTTAACCCCCAGTACACCACCCTGGGCCATCAGGGGAAGGAAGGAACCAGCCGAACTTAGAGACAACGCTCCACATTCCCGTGACCTTGGACAAGCCCATTCGCCTCTCCGAGCCTCAGCTTCCTAATGTGCGTCCTTCGCGGGGTGACCGCGGACTCACAAACCCCGAGGGCTCTGCAAAAGCCAAGTACCGTTCTCGTAACTCTGCACGACCCCCTCCTCCCCCGGACCGCTCCCAGGCGCCGGGCACCAGCCTGGGGGGGGGGGGGGGGGGGGGGGGCGTGGGCAGCTTCTCTCTAAAGCTCTGTCCCGTAGCCCCCGGGACGCGTCGCCTCGCAGCCCGTCCCCACACCTGGCAGTTGCTGTCCTGGGGCAGGTTTTTCACCAGGATTTTCCTGCGGTTGCTCAGCTCCCGGCGCATCCGCTGCAGCCGCGCGGCGACCTCCTCCGGGTGCAGCGCGGCGGGCGCCGGGCCACGGGCGTCGTTGCGCGCCTCGGCGGAGGGGTCCGGCCCGCGCGGCCCCG